AGGTATGGATAAACTGTCAGTTAGATGTGTTGACCTGACTTTGCTAATTTTATGCTTTCTTCTAAGAGCCAGTATCTGGAATTTATTTTTCCTTATTTTTTTCTCCCTATTCTGTGGTTTATTTTGACATGTTAGCTAACAAATTCTACTGTCCAAGTAAGCCTATAATTTGTCCATAAACTCTTACTGGCTGTTATTTGTATTATACCATTGACAAAAGAATGCAAAGCTTTGTAGCACCTCAGCTGCAGATAGATTTCAAAGCTTCTTATTTTTATTTTCTGATTTTCAGACCTTTGAGCTTTTAATAATTTAAGTTACAATGTATTTTTGTCTGAATTAATAGAGAAAACATTTTTTAAAAATTCAATCTAAGTTTGAAAGTAAGAAAAATTTATAGCCTTCTGGTTTCAGCTCCTTCCTTTAATATTACTCAATCAAACCAAATGGAGGAAAAATATATTAATTTTTATTATTTTACACTTCAAAACATCCTAAAACCCTTTAATAGGTTTTATGCTGAGTCTGTATGTGCTGCATACAAACTTCTCTTTACAAAATTTTTGTATCATTTCAATGGAGAAATCAATACCTTTTTAGGTAAAGTACATTTTTTTTTTTTATTCCTGTCTTCTAAAAAGTAAGAGACATGTTAATATTCTGTCTTTCTAATGTCCATAGCAGATTGTCACACTTATAATGTGCTGTGAAACAAAATTTCAGGGCCAGATGGTGGTCCTATGACAGGGTAATGTGCTACCACTAATCAATATACCACTTGAACTCTGAACTGCTTTCAATTCCAGTGGTAAATATTGTGGAAAGAAGACGTTTGGTTCAGAAGGAAAAGAAGCAAATGTTACAGTGCTCCCAGCAAGGTCTTTCTGACCATTTTAAAATGACATTACAGCAGGAACTAGATGGAGCACCATCCTTCCTGAAAAATTCTCACTTGAAAAATGAAAGAAGACAGTTCAAGAATAAGACAGTATTGCCTCCAAGCAAGAAAAACCTTAAGACTTGCAGGGCATCCCAGTATGTAAAGACCAGCTACCTCAATCTGATAACTCTTCCTAGTTCATCTGTGATAATACACTGTGAATTTTATTATTAAATAATGACTGCTTCCTTGAGTGCCCACGTTGACTTTAAACGAACTTGTAGCCTTCACTGGTAAGCATGTGAGAATCTTCTTCTGGTGGAATCTGCAAGCTCCAACAGGTTTCAAGTTGAACACAAAGAATCTTGTTGAAAGTACTATTAAACAGGAACATTAACCTAGAAGAATATGTACAAAATTCTAACAGGAAAAACTGTATTGGATTGATTGTGTGTCTAGATAGGGAATTTAAGTGACTTAACAGCATTACTATTTACATTGTTCTGCATTTTATTGTCAAGCAAGAATAGCAGAGCAGCATTATTCCATGTATTTCTTCACATAAGTGCATGACAAAGTAATTCAGTTCTGATTTTGTCATTCAAAATACATTTTAAAGTTGCATTTCCAGTCTACTGAGTTTACAAAACTGTGAGATTTTCAATAATATTTTATTTCAGATATACTGAACATCAGTTATCACATGATGCCACCAAATAGTTGGTCACTGATTTTGAGGGAAGTGTTATAATTTCATGCAAGTACTATAACCTCATGATTCTACTCAGATTTAACATCAAATCACAACTCACTATGATTCACTCAGTATGATTTTATATTCTATCTAATATAACCTTTCATAAATTAATAAATGAATAAATATGAAATGGAAAGAATATTGCAAGAGAACAATTCATTTTAGAAACTTATTTGCATTACCAATAAAAATAACAAATTATAATATAGACACAAGTCACATATACAGACAATGCCTATTAAGAACAATTCTGCTCTGGTTATAACTTAGGAGACAGGGTAATAGTGCTCTATTTCAGATTTTATGTGCTAGAATAACTTTCTGAGATTCCTTACTGATTTTATTGAAGGTCTCAGAGGTGCAACAATCAAAGGATTTACTAGCAAGCTTAACTGCAACACAATGCTCCAACACAGAACACTCCATCTAAAAAGCACAGACAGCTATAAGTGAGCTGTTGCAATTTGACTTACTTTGGCAATGACAAGGCCTTTTAAGAATTGGCATTAGAAATTCAGTGAAAAAAACAAACAAACAAAAAAAATCCAACCACCAACAAAATAAAGATGCAGTGCTGGCTTGGATAAAACCCTTTTCTATGAAAGTGTAATCTGAAGTCTTGTCTCTATTCCTACATCCTGGCACATGACTCTTCACAAAGCAGGAAGGTCTCTTCTATGCTCTGAGCCTCTGCTTCCTCTTTCCTGAGGAGCACTGGGTTTGTTTCAATCACTTTGGTTGCAAGTTTTTTTGGAAAGAACTGTTCAGACAGTTTGTTCTTAACTTCAGAGCCTGCTTGAAGTCTGATATTAATGCCATGCAAATTTTACTAGAACTGGAAGGAATGCAGCTGCTACATCCCATCTATGGCAGTGACCTGAACACATATAGATCACTGGACAGCTTTGAGCTAAGCACGTTTTTGTGACATGGAGCGGCAAAAGATATACCGGTGTCAAACTAACATGACAACCTTGTAAACTAACATTGCTGCTTTTGCTAGGAAAGATATGAACAATAAAATCTACTGCAATGGTTACTTGTTGATTAAAGGAAGAACTGTAAAAACTGTAATATGAACACAGTATTATTGCTCCATTATAAAAAAAATAATAAGGTTATGTCAATGAGATCTCCAGCATTAAACTACTAAAATGAAACCAGCATGTTATTGAGGTGATATTTTTATGTAATATTCATGTGATATATAGGTACCTCGCATTTACCACTGTTATACTAATCACAATAGCTTAAAATAAATAAGCTTAAAAAGGTTGAGAGGCAAGAAGAAAAAGCTTATGTTTTAGTTCCTAGAGGGGGAGATACCAAGGGCTGAAGCCTAATGAGATAAAGTCTAGAGAACCCTGGGAAATTCTCCACTGTACTATATTAAGAAAATATTCAATTTATTTGATGAACTGGTCAGATTTGAACCAAGATTTTCTGAGATTTAATGGCTGTCCATCATTAAACAAATTTTAAATTATTTGTATTCATAAGAAAAAAAAAAAGAAAATCTGAGGTTTAAGGCTCCTACAAATGTCTAACAAAGGCAACACTGCTCAGAGTCCTCAAGCACGCCAGGAAGTGCTGAAGCTTTAGCTCCACATTACTAAAGGTCTTGCTATTCTTCCCTCTCCTTTTAGTATCACCCTCTCACCCAGGAATGAGGGGTGTAAGCATCAGTGAATCTGTCCTAAATCCAACTGTATCCTGGGGTGCACCAGGCACAGCCAAGCAAGGGAAGGGATTGTCCTGCTCTGCTCTGCATTCCTCTGGCCTAGAGGAATTGTGGCTTCGGAGGGAATAATGCCTTAGAATTGTAGCTTTCATATTTTTCAAATTGTATACTGCTTTAGTGTATAACTCTAAAACTCTTTATATAGAATGTTAGCTATTGTCTTCACATTTTGGTCAGACAAAACAATTCCCTTAGGCCTGAAGCTCAAGGGCACCAAAAGAATAAGCAAAAGTGAGTTGGGGGAGAGGAAATTGGGGGTATATGACTTCATTACCTGAATCTGTAATTGGAGGATTAATTCCTGATATGTAAATGGACCAAACTTGTATCTGAAAAAAATCATGACCATCATCCATCTTGGGTGTGGCCTCTTGGGAGGCTTTTGTCTGCCCAAGATGCACCTTTTGAAGGCCTTTAATAAACACCAGCTTTATCTCTCCTAACCTTGTCTAGCCTCTGTTCTAGGTAGCCACTCCGTGGCATCATGCCCTGGGCAGCTTCACCTCAAGTCCTGTGTGTGGTTTTGGGCACCACAAAAAGGACACAAAGGTTTTAGAAAGCATCCAAAGAAGCACAAGGGTCGTGAGAGGTCTTGAGGGGAAGCCAGATGAGGTGAGGTCACTTGGTCTGTTCAGCCTGGAGGAGACTGAGGGGGGGATCTCATTGCAGTTATAGCTTCCTTGTGAGGGCAAGAGGGGCAGGCACTGATATGTTGTCTCTATGATCGGTGACAGAGCCCAAGAGAATGGCATGAAGCTGTGTCATGGGAGCTTTAGGCTGAAAATTAAGAAAAGGTTCCTCACCCAGATGGTGGTTGGGTGTTAGAAGAGGCTCCCCAAGGCCTCATGGGTGGTCATGGCAGCAAGTCTGCCAGAATTCAAGAAGTTTTTGACAGGACTGTCAGGCTCATGAAGTGATTGTTGTGTTGGTCCTGTGCAGGGCCAGAAGTGAGGTCCCTCCCAGCTCAGGATATTTTATGATTCTATGAAATAAGTTTTGGCTATCATTTCATTTTGATGAGAGGTTGTGAAAAAGGAAACCTATTCCCTGGCATCTCATTTTTCCCACTGGGCATTTTTCTACTGACTCTAAGGTATAGACAAGGAATGAGGGAGTTTTTATGCCTGGGTAGAACTATCTCTTTGCACAAGTTTCCTTCTTCAGCAGAAGATGGAAGATGTTTCAGGTGATCAGGATGACAAAACAAAAAATTACACCTTCTATTATGCATCCATTGTTATAGCTCCTATATGAATTTATAACTTTTTAAGGGAAGACACCAGACCCTAAAATTTGTATTTCAAGGTACTTTGATATAGCATGTATCACTTTCAATAGTCTTTAATAGCTCACTGCATAGATATTAATATGTTTCAACCTGTATTATTTCCAAAAGGAATTGAATTAATGGTAAAGAACTGTAATTCAATACCTTTAAAATACTGTTTACATTCTAATATTCAAAATAGAAAACTATACAAGAAATTATTAACTGCTATTTCATTCCTATGCTCTCTCTGAATATGTAAAGGTTATGGCATTCAATGCAAACCTTCAGTTGTATAAATGCTATCAAAACTACTACAGTTTGCTTAATTCACAGAATTATTTTTTTAGCTTACCCAAATCTGTAGCTTAATTCTTTTCTCATTTTTGAAAACTGTTTTTACTTTGAAGTCGATCCCAACCGTGCTTACAAATGCAGATGTAAAGGAATCATCAGCATATCGGAACAAAAAGGAGGTTTTTCCAACACTGCTGTTGCCGATAATGAGCAGTTTGAACATGTAATCAAAGTTCTGGTCAGATGTATCTTTCTGGCCATATCTGGAATCTTGAACGGATGCCATCTGTAATTCAAAATAAAAAAGAAATATCTTATTGTCTCTTTTATCTTAAAAAGATAGATTTTATTGGAGTTTTTCATACCTGGTATCAATGAAACTCAAGAAGAATATCTTCTTGAAAGATTAGTCATGTGTATGCTTCAATGTGAACTTCAAGAAATTCACAGAGATCTAATTTTTTTGTGATTCTTGTATCTAGTAGTAGTTCTGGTAGCAACAGAGGATGTAAAAATGACTGGTAATTGTTACTAAAATAACAACAAAAAATAATTCTAAAAATCCAGGACAGCTCTTGAATATATCTCTAAGAATATTTGTTTTCAGAAAATGTGATGAATAGATGGTGAAAATGCAGTGAAAGTTCATTTGTATGAGAGAAGAGACCAGTTCTTCATTTTGACACAGCAGGTATATTTCCAAACAGAAGCTTAGTAAGTTTTACATCTAATAAAATTCTTGAACCATTTATTTTACTGTAAATATGTTGCTATCTTTTGCCATGCCTATAAACTTACTCAAAGCATTTTTCATTTACCATCTTTTAGTTCTCATACCATTAAATAGTGAGTATATACACCTCTGAAATACTGTCTTGATTTTTTTCCAATACTAGTACATTTGTTATGTTAATGCAACATCATCATAATTGGCAGTTAGAGTAATAGAATATTAAGGTTTGGAAGGGGTGTTAAAGATCATCTAGTCCAAATCCTGCTGCCAGGGACACCTCCCACTAGATCAGGTTGTTCAAGGCCTTATCTTCTTGGTTTTGAACATCACCAGGGCGGGGGCATCCGGATACAACCTCTCTGGGCAATCTGTGCCACTGTCTCACCACTCTCACAGTAAATATTTTTTTTCTAGTATCTAATATAAATGTCCCCCCTTTTAGTGTGTGCCCATTCCTCCTTGCCCTGTCACTCCAGTTCCTGTCAGAGAGTCCCTCTCCCACTTCCCTGTGGGCCCTTCAGATACCAGAAGGTGTCTGTGAGGTCCCCACAGCCTTCTCTTCTCCAGGCTGAACAGCCCCAACTCGCTCAGCCTATCCTCACAGGGAGGTGCTCCAGTCCCCTCAGCAACCTGCTGGCCCTCCTCTGCCTTGCTCTAACAACTCCTTGTCCTCCTGCTGGGGACCCCAGAGCTGGATGCCGTGCTCCAGGTGGGGTCTCAGCAGAGCAGAGGAGCAGAATCCCCTCCCTCAATCTGCTGGCCAATGCTGCTTTGGATGCAGCCCAGGATTTCCTTGTGAAAAAGGACTGTGGGCTCATGGTGAGTTTTTCACCAGCCACCACCCCCAGGTCCTTCCCCCCAGGGCTGCTCTCAATCACTTCTCTGCCCAGCCTGTGGGTGTGGCTGGGATTGCCCCAGCGCAAGGTCTAAGACCTTGTACTTGGCTTTGCTGATGTTTGGAGTGGCCCATCTCCCAACTGTGGTCCTGGTGGATGACATCAACGTTTTGAAATTTGAGTCCTTAAAATACAGTTTTGAATCCATATAAAACACCTGAATAAACACAGATTACTGAATACTGTTAAAGAGCAACCTATTTTGATCTAGAGACTTCAAAGATCGCAGATTCCAGTTATAAAAAGTACACCTTAGGCTTTCATGAAAATTGCAGAGATTAGGGTGAAAACCTGACCAAAGTTCTACCTAGGTTGCTCAAAAACAAATGGCAAAGATAAAGAACTTAGAATGTCTCAGCTGAGTTTTTAACAAAAATGATCAAGTATTTTGAGAGCCTGTGAAAGTTTTTTGAATATGATTACTGTAAGAACAACACTTTTGCATGCTCATTTAAGACGAAAAGATAGACACCATAACCTAACATAAAGGCTTACAGAAAAGCAGCTCATGTAAAAGCTTTCTAATTTAGGCATCTCAGAATGCATTTGGGCAATCAGAAAGGACAACTGGAACCAAGGTGACAGCTGTGCACTAACCCACACTCTCAGCAAAACTCCAGTTACTGTATAATTGGTTTAGATAATTCTGCTATCTCATAGCACCAAAAACATGACAGCTTCTTTGGGCTACTGAAGAGGCATATAGGAGTGGGGACAAAAAGTTCTGAAAAAGACATTGGAAGTAGCAAGTTTTTACTAGAAAATTTAGTGTCAGATTTATATTTATATATTAAATATATTTGATTTTATATTTTATATAAATTTGATTTATAGCAAAAACTCAGTAGGGAGTGTTTGATTTCAGAATTTTATTTCAGAATTACCTTCTTCATTAAATTTAGTATTGGGTACCTACACGTTTGCAACCTGAATGTTGGTATTGGGCTTAATATTTACTCACTTATTCAACAGGTATGCAAGAAAGAAGCTTTAGAATGAAAAGCTGGATAGTATCAAGCATACACATTACTAATCTTTCAGCTTTATTATCTCTGTTGAAAAGACAGAAACTTTCATTACTGTCCCGTATTGTATAACTATTTGGGGGTATTTTGCTTCTTAGAAAACAAGAAAAAGGAAATCAAATATTGATTTAATTAGTCTTACTCACAAGTCACTACAAAGCAATATAACACAGGACATGCTGATATTGCATAGAGTTTGCAACAACAAGTCAATAAGTTCTATCAGACCAAAGGCTGCAGTGCCTGTGGGTGTCATATGTGTGACCACTATGTCTTGCTACAGCTGCCTGTTCCACTGCCCCTCTGGCTCCCCTCTGTTGTGCTGCAGCTGAAAGCAGTAGTTACCCCTTGTAGCAAGGAGGAATATCATATTCTTTCCTGACTTTATCTCCTAGGAAGCCTTTCACATAGCTTCTTCAACCAGCTTAAGATTTACAAAAAGAGGTTTAAGCTTTCATCCATTTGCTGCTCTAAGTTCTATGAAGCTTCCAACTCATCCCCATGTACTTTAGTGCCTAACACTTCAGAAACAGCGTGATTCAATGAGCAGAGGAACCAGGAGACCTGGATTCTAATAATAGTCCTGCTAAACCACGTACATTGTGTAGCCTTCCTGAGTAATAATGTGTTTCCTGTGGATAGTTTTAAATACAGACTTTACCCACAGAAATTTCAGTGTTCCTCTAAATTATGTGCAGTTATATGCATTACTCATGCAGCAGTTTCCTTAACATTTCTGAAAACAAAAAAAAGTAAAAAGCCCAACACCTTCACTGTGCCATAAACTTATGGAGTCATTACTTGCAGTATCATAGGCAGAATTACAGGCATGCTGAACATAGACTCAAAGCTGTTTTTATTTCAGGGGCAGGAGTATGTCTGCTTATTACAGGATGATAAAAAATGCCTAGGAAGGGCATAGGAAGGGACTGATTTCTCCAAGAGGATTAGTGAGGTAATAATTGAAACTGTTTGGAGAGACTAGCTTAGCAAACCAGTCTCCTAGACTACTGATAGTGATCCTTTCTCCTATCCAAAACCCAAATGAGCCCACACTAGTGTAAAAAAACTCTGTGGAGTTGCTGAGTGTTTGCCATTCTGCATTTTGCATTTGCTAAGACTCCCCAAACTCACTCCTTCTGTGGCAAGCAAGGAGACAAATTCTTCCAAGCACAATCCAAATTATGCTCACAATCTAAATGATACACTAAAGGAATATCTGTATTTCTGCTGACTGTAAGGGAAATACAGATGCTTGGATCTCTTGAACTTTTTGAATAAGCCTGTAATGCCTCTCTTTCTTAAATGCAAGCTGCTGACTTAAAAATTAAGTATGGAATGCACTGTAATCCATTTCCCAAGGTATTAATATGTCAGTTCACTCCTGACAGTACTTGTCCCTACAATTGGAGGTATTTGTAAAATATGAAGAAGATCATGATGATGCTATGTTCTGCCTTAGGAAATTATGCTGGAAGCAATCACTAGTAATGCTGTGTTCCCACCTATATCTAAACACTGCATACATGGATGAGAACCACATAAACCTCACAAACGTTAAGATATTTTGTTTCCAGTAAAGTAAAATGCATACCTTTATTTTGACAAGATATCTTATCTCAAAGGTTAAATGGATATATTAAACAAGCATTTGTTTTCAACAAAACACACTGAGTTTTCTCTTCAGTACAATTTTGCCCTTATTTACTAAAATTGAAGAGAAAATCCACAGTGTTATTTTCATTAGCATCAAAAGCAGACTCAAGCCATTTCCTAGAGGACTTAGGACAGACTTGAGAGTCGACTGAGAAGTCTAAGCTCAAGACAATGAACAGAAAGCCTATACACAGGAGATCTCAGATGCTAGCTCCTCATCAAAGCCAGGAGTTATGTTGCCAATTTGAATATAGTGCAAAGACAAACAAAGGATTGCTTTGTATGCTTCCCTGCTTACAGCACATCTCTAAACTCCTTAAACATGGATTATTTAAGGGCACAGGCAAGTTTAATAATTAAGCAGAATTTTCTATTCAGACCCATGTGCTTTCTAAGTTTCATGCTTAGCTATTTCCTTGATTCCAAAAGAAGAGGTGAACATAGAGCAGGGTTAAGAACAAATGCCAGAACACTGTGTTTGAAACTGTGTCACCTTCATGATCATAACAAAACATTTGCCAATGTGATTCTTTAGGCCTTGGCAGGCCTCAGCAGCGCAGGGTGCTGTGACCTCCCTGGCCTGCACGCAATTTTAGTTTGTACTTACACGCATACCCCATTCTGCATGCTTAGTGCAGGATGATTTTTCCCCTGGAAAATATGGTGCAAAAGGCAAGAAAACCTGACATTAAAAACACTGAGATTCATTCCTTCCCACCTTTAGCAAATATGTTGTTTTCTTTTAAAAATTCTGTTAACAGACATGTCTTAAAGGAGAAAATTGGCATTAAGTCCAAAGAAAATGTCTTGCTTCTATTTACAGTGATGATAGATAGAGACTGATCAGCGAACTTAAAGCTGTTTCAAAGTGCAACACTCTCTTTCTGTCTAGTGTTGTTACAGCCCTCCCTGAAAAGGACCTCAGTTACCCCTGAAAGTGGGGTAACTGAGGTCCTTTTTAATAGATCACTTCAGT